AAGTTTTTTTGAGGAGCAGAAAGAAACAAGAGAAGGGGAGCTTTCAAAGCTTTTTCTTTTGCAACAGTATGTACTGGGCAAACTGAATAATGAGGCAGCTTCCCTGCTCAAATCTATTATCTCCATTCCATGGCTGTACTAAGGCTGAAAAAGGCCCATTCCTTGAAACACTACTGAATCACATTTTCACCTTTTGAGCAGAGAAGTAGGTTGTTCTAGCACAGGGAACTGAAAGGGCACAGTCATGACCCAGCAACATTAGGCGCTCAGGGCAATCTGATGTTCAATCTGACTGTGAAGTCTAGCAGAGTTGGCTTCCTGGTAAGTAAACCACTTGAAAATACAGCTGGTCAGGCACAAAATCTGATAATTTTGGACAATAAGCCATTTCAATATAAAGCCTAGAAATTACTCACTATAAAAATCACACAACTGACATTTTAAGCAAAGTGAATTTCTGATGTCAGTTCAAGCAAAATTAAACAACTGTGCCAGATTCCTCTTGTTAGGTTAGGTTTGGGTGGTCTTTGATCAAAACATGGTTACTCACATTAAAGAGAGTCAGATTACCAACTGAAAATGGTGTAGCTTGCTGCTGCTGTCAAGGTCATAGCCTGTAGTTCTAATCCAAACAAAATTCAGGTATAGAGAAATATTCAAGTTATATTTCATTAGGGGAGGCAGGGGTGAGTGCATATTTAGAGAACAAACAAAAGAACTCAGGGGTAGAGAAAGCAGTCAAAACTAGAAATTCCCCCTGCTTTAACAATCTGCTAATCCACACGTTTCCATGGCAAATATGGAAATGGCTGATTTTAGTCACAAATTTGATCAAGATTGAATGCAGGCTGTAAAAACATAAGAAATTTCTATTTCTGCATCTGGTTGAAATCAGAGATGCAGTAGTAGTGTGCATTATCTACTGTGCTGGCCCTCTGCTTTTTAGTGTTGTGGTTTTGATGGGTTTTTTTCCCCTCATTTATTGATTTATTGCTTATGTTTGCAGGAGAATATACAAGCAGCTTGATAGTCTCAAGTCCATCTCAACCATCTATATAAGCACTAACTACTAATACACTAGAGAGGACCAAACAGTCAGCTTTGTTGGTATTTGGTTCATAATGAGCTTTGAATGTTACTTCCTGATCCCAATACCTCAAGTCCCTGCATCTTTAGAGTTTTAAAAGTGACAGTAATACCCAGTAGTACCCAGAACCAGAGGGTACATAAGGATGGATGGGACCTCAAGTTCCCTCTTCAAGGTTAGCTATGGCTTGGGACTACATTCACTTGAGCTTTGAGTACCTCCACGCTTGGACACTCCACAGACCCTCTGTGGCGTCTCTTCCAGTGCTCAGTCACCCTCACAGTAATATTTTTTTTTTTCCTTATGCTCAAGTGGAATTTCTTTTATTTCAGTTTGTGCCCATTCCCCCTTGACCAGCCCCTGGGCACGAAGAAGAAGAGCCTGCCTCCATCTCCTCTACCCCCACTCACCCCACTCAGATATTCATACACCTTGACTGAAACTTCCCTGAGCCTCCTCTGCTGCAGGCTGGACAATCCTAGCTCTCTCAACCTCTCCTTGTATTTCAAATGCTCCAATTGCTTCATATTCACCATAGTCCCTCAGTAGACTCAGCTTAGTAGGTCCTCGTCTCTTCCATCCTGGGGAGCCCAGCACCAGACACAGCACTGTGTTGCACAGAGTGCAGCCATCAGTGCAGCACAGAGAAGGAGCATCATGTCCCTCAGCCTGCTGGAGAAGCTCTGCCAGGCACAACCCAGCAGACCACCAGCCACCTTTGCTGCTGGCTTACTGTCAGCTTGTCTCCAGGACCTCAGCCAGGCTCCACCAACATCCCAGGAATGCTGTCTGACATATAAGTGAAGTGAACATGGTGAAAAGAAGTATTATCTTTTAGTAGGTTAACTCAGAATGCTGGAAAAGGCAGACAAGATTCCCAACAAGAAAAAGTTCCTAATGAAATGTACAAATAATAGATAGAACTGCCCCGAGCCACTCCCAAAGCGAACAGCACAAATCTCATGGACTGTCTGGGACACTCCAGTGAACAGGGAAAGCTTCTGCAGCTTTGTGATAGGACTGGAAGTCTAAGAGGCAGAAATCTTTATCCTGCAGAACAGGACATGTGGCTCCCAGCCTACCAACACAGAATGCCTAATTATATTGGATTAAGTTTTCACATTTGAGCCAAGTGAATGATGTCCTCCTGTACAAATGCACAATGCTGTCCTCTCCCAGAGACACGGGCTCATGCTTGATGGACCACTACTCTCCACTTGACAATTTCTGTGTCACTCCTGCCTTTATTGATTCAGGCCCCCCATTTTCATTAGAACAAGCAATTTGAGCTTGTATTATTGAACAGTGCTAATACATCCTCTCCAGCCTTGCTACTCACAGCTGGAATAACCAAACCAGCCCCCAATGCCACTGCCAACACCCCAAACCCAGCCAAGGAGAACATGAGGGTGAGCGGCACAGACAGAGCTGTGTCATGTGCTGAAGCTGGAGGGGTTAAGCATGGGCCACTTGCATCCACTCTTCTCTGACCCACCATGGCCTTCCTGGTATTAACTGATCTCTGGAACCTACTCACTTTAGACATGACCTGTTTATTTTACCTATTCTTGAAACACTGCTTTTTTTGTTTTTTTACTTTATTACACCAGAGAATCAGAGCTTCAGACACTGGTGTGAGCCGCTCTACTTGGAGGAGCACATACTTACCACCACGAGAGAGCATTTGCAGAGGTGAGGATCTAGCCCTGTTACAACTATTTCTCCAGGCCCGTGTTTTACTAGCCATATTTAACTACTACATAAAGTCCTGAAATATTAAGATAAACACATAGATAAATACAATAATTAATATATAATAATATGATAACCTAATAATAAAATAAAATAAACCAAAAATATAGTAAAAATAAAAATAAAATAAATACTCAATCTAAGATAAACTTAGCAATAACCAATGGAGCAGTGGCACCCAGGCACCACTAACCAGCTGCCCTCTGGCAGAGAAGCCCCACATCAAGCTGCATCAACACTGGGACAAATGATCCTTTCTCTCTGCTCAACACTTGAGCAAGCACAGCCAGAGTTCTGGGGCCAATTTTGGACCATGGTAGAGCATGGTCTGATAGAGGCCACCAGGATGGTTGAGGGCTGGAGGAGATGCCAAGGGAATGTGTGGGCAGCACGAAGGAGTCAGTCCATCATGTAGTGGTGGCTGTCTATTTAACTCACAGACAAAGAACAATTTCAGATTGTATTCAAGCCCAGCACACATTAGCATTTCACTGCTCACAAGGTGAAGTGCTAACTGTCAGTGTAAAACACACCAGCAAACCACACAGATAACACATCAGAGCCAAGAGGACATAACTCTGGGAACACAGGTTTTGATAAATACAGCTGAACAACCACTGCCAGCAAGCATCGGCAAGATCGAATTCCATTGTGAAAGTTAAAATGTGTGACCATACCCTGGATTTTTACTGCAGGTGACCTCCAACAAAAAGCAATGGCTTGCATCCACTGGAGTGTGGACCCAATCACAAGACAACAGTCACAGAGAATGGATATGTTCAGCCACAAATTACCTACATTTAGTGGAAATTAGACCCCAGGTTTCTGGCAGGTGGACAGGACACCCCTTGGTGTCACAGCAGCCACCATGCTCAGCACATCCTGTTCAGTTCTTGTGTACTGCAGTGCCTAAACATAAGTCTCTCAGCTTCAGGTGTAGCTCAGTGCTTAGGCAGTTACACAGCTATTCTTACATTTTAAGTAATATCATACATGTCCCAAACAACCACACGATCATAGGGGCATTACAATAACACAGAAAGAACTGTAAACCTTGTACACACACTCTAACATAAAATGTTACCCTACAGGAATCAGGAACACAGACTTTTACTCCTGCTCACGAACTTGTCACAAACAAATCTCCTCACAGCCCTTGCCCACTTTTCTTTTGCATGAGTAATTGGTGTTTGATATTTCCTAAGACAGTTTTCAACTTAAATTGCAAGAAAATCTATACCAACTTGCAGTTCAAAAGCATATATATGAACTGAGCAACTGATCCAGTGGAAATAGAGACATCCCTAGAAATACCAAGAGACTGTAAAATGAAGAGGTTCAGGCAGGGAATATTTTTAAATAGCACAAATATTGCCGAAGTTATAGAGCTTTTCCTTTTGTCTTCTAAACAATATTCATTCTGACAACCTCTGACAGTGCTTTCAACTTTCTGCTCAGCAACACCCTGGAATTTTTGAATTAACCCTGAAGTAAACTGAGTGACGCTCAAGCAAATACTACACAAACCAGACCCCCTGAAAAATCAGCATTTAGAGGCAATATTTATGGATTTAAGGATTAAAACCCCTGGAACTGCTGCCTACTTTCTCATTTTTCATGAGCTTCTGCTTCTCTCCTTCTTTAAAAAAAATCCTAATTCTTTCCCCTCTTGCTAATCTTTATAAAACACATCATTAATACTGCACATTTGGTGTTGAACTACTGAATATGCAACACTGATTCTAACAATACTCCCTGAGACAGAAACCCAAAGGTATTGAGAAGAATTTGCTGTATATTTATATTTTATTCCCTCTTCAAAGGGTTTATACAGCATGGGATTTGGAAATAAACACGTCTCTTCTGCAAGTGCTCTGCATATGAAGCCACTGAGCCTGCATGTGAGCCATACATGCCTGCATGAAGGATTACAGTATTTCAGATTCTTTTCGACCTCCAAGCCCCTCTACAGCAATTTCCTCATGCCCACATGTTTTCTCCACCACCTAGCATCCCACTCTCCTCTGCAAATTACCCCTCACAAAAACATTGCCAGGTTACTTGCAAGTGGCACATGTTCATTTTCTCCTCCCTTCCCAGGCAAATGTCTCCCACAGCAAATAAACCAAAGGGACGGGAAAAGCATAACAGGAGGTCTTACCTTTTGATGGTCTTCTTTGTTTCGTTTGTAGAGAAGAGAATGTACCCATGACAGCACCCATTGCAAAAGCTACTCGTGAGTTTTTCGGGAGGATTTATTTTGGCAGATTTTTTTTTCTATTCCTCTTACCCCACCCCTCCACTGACGGCAAACAAAATCTATGTGAAATGCCCCCAAGAACAAAACAAAACAGAGGAAGTACAGACAAGAAAGAAAAGAAGGAAGGAGGAGGAGGGAAAAAAGCAAAGCACTGCAGCTCGGCATTCAGCAAGCGTTAAGCTTTGAGGGTTTTTTTTAAGTCAACACACATGCACTGACTCACAGCCGGCTGCACTGTTATTATTCAAAACAGCTCCCCATCAAAATTTAAATGCTAGGTATATTCCCTCAGACCAGAGCTGGCAGCAGATGCATCAAAATATTTACTGGAGCACAGCCACATAAACACACAGGCTAATTCTTCCTCCCGTTCCCTTATGGCTCCAACCAGCAGCCTGTAGGTCTAGCGAGGGAGCATCAGAGCGGCTCTTCCAGTGAATACTAAACTGGAGCCCTGTAGACATGCTGAGGGTCTCGGGGGGAAGCCAGGGCTTTGGGCTGGATACCAACTCGGAATGAATGGAAATCTTCTGAGTAGGAAGTAATAGTGAGCAAGGCATCAAAGCCCCAGCTGCGCGGGCTGTGTGCTCCTGCTAATTAAGAGTCTGACAGAAAGGTAGAAAGCAGCAATTTCCAACAGTCTTCTCAAGCAGAAAAGTCAGAGGAAAATTACTAAGTGCAAGGGGGGGAAACAGAAAATTTCACCACAATCCTTTTCCTTCATATCTTTTCTCACACACCAGGAACACATGTAAGACAATTATTTTTATGGCAAGTATGTATGTGCACATCCTTTTCAAGCATATTGAACCAAAAAACTGTTGAAACAAAACTCAACAAACAGTGAGTGGCTAGGAGGAGGTAGAGAAATTCCCAGCATTTTTTCAGTTCAGTCATATTTCAAAAAATCAGCTAGACATCAGATTATGTTTCTTCAGAAGGTGAAATAACAAATGCTCAGGTACAGGAGGAGTTAAATACACTGAGGCAGGCCTCAGAACCCAAATTAACTTGCTACCTGCACATGGTGACTGAGGGCAGCATGTGTAAAAATACTGTCCTTTTCAGAAGAAATTCACCACAGAAAAAATCACCTTGTCTCAACAAGTTTCCTCAACTTTCCTCTAACTTTGCAGTAGATTCCCTCAGATGCAAATCCTAGCTCCCTAAATGCTGGTGTCCCTGGAGGTACAACCCTGCCTTACCTGCTACTCTCCCGCTGCCAGCATCTTCACATGCATCTTCCCATGCATAAGTATATTTGCATCCTTAGTGTACACCTGCAAAGATCTTCCCCTCAGTTTCTAGTTGAAGAAAGCATTGCACAAAATAATTTGTCTTTTTCTTGTTTTATAACTCAAAACACATTAATTGAACTTTTTGTGAGAAATATCTGGGGGAAGGTACTGTTTAAATACCCAAGTCCTGAAATTAAACACATCAGCTTGCAGGTTATTGCCCAAGACTGGGGGCACACAGAGGCCTTTGTCACATCAGGAGGAGCCTATCCTGGTTTGTGCAACATCCCCTGCTTTCCACCCAGCCCCCACTCCTTTCCCTAGGCTGGCATAGCTGAGGTCCCATTGCCCCTGCTTCCCCAGCCATCCAGTTCCAGATGGGGGTCCCTCAGACTACGTTGATCTGCACCAGGTACTGAAGAGCTGTATTAGATTCTTAAGCTTTTTTAAAATTAAAATATTTATCTTTATTTTATTAATATTTTATTTGCATTTACAGAGCAAAATATTACATAGGCTACAGTGCACATATGGAAAATCACTATTCTTGGGACTAGTGCATTCAACAAAGGCTGGAGAGTGACCACAGGCTACAGCCAATGTCTCCAAGATGTCAAAACTGGAATCTTCAATCTAGGCAAAATGTCACTAGCAGAAGTCAAATGTTGCCAAGGTGTAAGGCCCCAGACTACTCGGTTGATGAGGATTTAAAAAGGGGTTTTGGTTGTTCATATACACTGAGTTAGATGCACAGGAGAAGTGCTGATGATATTCTCAAGAGATCAAAATAACAAAAAGAACTTTACTGGCAACTTCAGAAAATTGAGGAACTTTGGCAAAAGGTTTAGTGCAACATTCAATCAATACAAAACAGTTCTCAAAGAACTGGCCCCATTCAACTTAGCAAACTTTAAGCCCTTTTGATTCTAAATCAGTCAAAAAATCCAATAAGAGGGAATTAGGAGAAAGAGAGAAAGACAGAAGAGGTATAGAAAAATACATATATAGCTACCAGTTCCTGGGTTACAGTGGTGTTCTGACAGAAATTCCAAGAGGAGGTAGGGTCAAGACATATGAATGCCCCTTGGCCCTTCCCCCACTTGGGGCTTCTGGTCACTTGGCCACTCAGGAGCTGTGTTAGGGGCTCCAGGGATTGGGTGTGGGGCATTGCATCCAGTGTGCCACAGATTGGCAGCCACTGCCAGAGCGGGATGTACCAGGCAGGGCACTGCCTCACCAGGGCAAGGCCTGACCTGCTCCTGCCCCACACACATGCATCCCAAAATGTCTTGAGACATCACTCTTTCCACTCTCTCACACAAGGCCACTAGTCACCCATTTCCTCAAGTATCCTATCTACACATCTTTTAAATATCTCCAGTAATGGCGACTGTCCCACTACCCTGGGTAGCCTCTGCCAGTGCTTGACCATCTTTTTGGTGAAAGAATTTTTCTTAATACCCAACCCACACCTTCCCTTGAGGCCTATTCCTCTTGTTACTTGGAAGAAGAGACAGACGCCACCTGCCTACAAACTCCTTACATCAAAAAGTACCTTGAAAGTAGCTGGCTTCAGGATTCCTTTTGACATCAGTTGGATCTCAGCCATGCAGAAACTGAGCTCAGTCTGGGAGTGACAGATCAGCCTGTCCATATGGTGAGATAGGCAAGAAGGAAGTAATTTGGGGAGACAAAATTGCACCCCTAATGCTGCACTGTTGTTTACTTGAAACAGCATGGCATATGAAGGCAAAGGGCAAATGTAAATGTTCAGTTTTCTCTGAAACTTGAAAGAAATAAAAGCTCTATCTTGGCTGAAAATCAGTATTTACAGGTCCCAAAGAAATTATGGGGATAAGCGGTTACACACATTTTTATGTTTACGATTCAAATGTACAAGAATGGTGACGAGAGGAGGGCTCATGTCTGTGCCTAGGCAGATGAGCACAGAATTACAAATCCCCAGTTCAAAAAGCAGACAATTTCTTTCACAGCTGAAAACCAAGACCTCAGAGGAACAGAGGCATTGTAAGCACTAAAAAACTAGAGTATTTGCCACAGCAGGCAGGAATTCTTTTTCCTCAAAAGACGATCATTCAAATGTATCAATCTGGGAGAGAACACTTTGAGATGTAACAAGTGCTGGTGGACATCCTTTATCTGAGGAGATGAATATTTTCAGACTATTTCCTTTAGATATAAGAAACTGCCTGAGCTCTGACTGTGATATGTGGGTATCTAAGTCAGCATCCTGCCTAAGAGATGCTAAAAGAGGACCAAAAGTACATCAGGGATGTACTGATGATGTGCCTGTAAGCCTGCCTGCAGTAAATTCAGAGCTTGGTTCTGACACAAAGGGGCACCTCAGTACATTAACATCAGTCTAGCAGATCGCCTGGGAGTATTTTGCTTCATCATTATTGTGAATTGCGCTACACTACATCTGTGCAGGATGGAGGAGACTTTGCTTCAGAGTGGACATAAACAGGCTTTGAAGTTCAGATGTGATATCTGCCCTGAATATCCAACCAAAACCAGATTGTACCTGATACCTTGCTACAACTACAGCAATTCCATACAAGCCCAAGCTCAAGGGCAGTTGTTTATCAGTATCTATGCAAACAACAATGGGAATTCCTTCATCCCTATGGAAACCATAAGGTCTGTGACATTTCTGCCAGTCAGTACACTAAAGTCATTCACCAAATTAAAACAAAGACTAAATTGTAGCATAAAGACCACCACTATATATATATATATACAAGTAATGTAAATAAATTGGGACTGGGGATGACTGAGAAGGTAGAGTAATAGTGTGATCTACAAACTGAAATCTCCTTCCCATGAGACCCATGGGACAAAACAAGGTTTGTTCTACACTGGGTTACACAAAAAAAAATCATTTCAGGTAGATCCCAACCTGTTAAAATCACTGACATTTCCAATAAATGTTTTGAAGACTTATGAAACCTGAAATCTTAATGGGAGCCAAATCCAATCTTCCTCTGACTAAAAGAAAACAGCATTCTTTTTGGGGAAAAAAGTTTTGGAAAAAAAATTTGTTTCTTAAACCAGTTTTTATCAAGATTTAGCTGCATTCCTACATGAGAGAACTATGTAAAGCTACAAAGATATGATGTGAAACATATACTGTTAAGACACTCAAAAATCTTGACAAATCTGGAGATTTCTGCATTTTGCAGAAAATCACTTTTTTTGGGGAATAGATGCAGCGTCTCTGTAATATGAGTCTCTCAGCAGTACCAGTGAGTATTTCCATCTGTAACTCCATCTTAACTTCATTTTTGTGAGAGAATTCACATTAAGGTCACAGCAGATGAAGAATGCTTCCAATAAAAGGGATATATTCTATTCCTCTTGTGCTAGCTGGTGGAATGAATTACTACAGTTACAATTATATAACAACTTTTATCTTACTGCTGAAGTGCTCCCCACATCACATTATTGGTGGCAGATATTTTCAAATTCTGTTCAATACACCATTCCAGATATCCTCTGGAGTTAATAACTAATTAAAAATATTCCATTTCAAGATGTACCAATGGAAGAGTGGAGACATCTCCAAGACACATTTTGGCACTACTGCCACTGCTGGCAATGCACAAATGTGTGAAATAAACCCAGTTAAAGCAAACTCAACTGCATATATTCAATCAGAATGTCTGCACTACTTTTCATTTACTCATTTGAGGGTATCTTCAAGACTGAGCATCAACTTTTTGTAATACATCACCTTTAAAATGCAAGTTCCAGACCATGTTGAATGGGGCTTGAAGCAACCTGTCTAGTGAAAGGTGTCCCAGCCCATGACATGGGGGAGGAACAAGATGGTCTTTAAAGTCCCTTCCAGTCCAAACCTTCTAAAGAATATAATTCTGTGAGTTGAGCAAACCATGCTTATCTCTCCGGCACAGAAGTGCTGACAGGGAA